ATCAAGTTATATGAATCATTAAAAGCGTATCTTAACATTTAACATTATGCAGAAAACACTTTGATTATCATAGGAATGAATAGAAATTATGTCTTAAGTGCTTCATGAAATTTTCATAATTTAGTTGTCCCATTGAACCAAGAACTTAGAATCTCTAGTCAACAAGGTTGAGTTACCATTATATAGACTCTTACGTAGTGGACTTCAATATCATTCTCTTTGATAAGCTTATAATGTGTGAATACTCTAGTTGACACATCGGCCAACCTTTGTTCCTTAAATATATTAAACTATTTAAATACATTCTCAATGTAAGTAGATTGGGAACGTACAATTCCATCAGACGTCATAGAGATCTTAATCCCTAATATTACATCTCGAACACCCATTTCCTTAATGTCGAAATGTTATGTTAATATTTTCTTTTTGTTTACGATGATATCTTGATTGTTCCTCATAATTAAAATGTCATCAACATACAGACAACTAAAATTTCACGAGTGTTCTGAGATTGTGTTAAGGCTCCCGTTTTCTACTTTGGAGTAATGAAAAGAAGAAGATACTCAATTGGACTGGAAAAAGTAAGACAACTAACATTTCCCGAATTCCATGAAGTTTTGGAGTAAGTTACACTTCTTATTGATCTGCTTCACCCATTTGCCCGTGGGCTCTTTTTCTTGATATTCAACCATACCACTATAGGAACAGAACAATCAAACTGTCATGGGACATGTCAATAAATGTCATGCACGAACCATTTGAACGATTTCGAGTACTTCTCGTAGAACAAGTGCAGCTTATTTAACAATTTTCTAACACATATGATTGTCAACTGATAGATACAATGCCCAAAACTACTCTGACTACGATGCCAACTTGGTTACAATATTTGAAATTGTTTGAAAATAACGTAACGAGTCTTGTTACTAGTCAACTTCATGAGTCACTTCGGCACTTAATTTGGTCTGTAGCTACATCAACTGAAAGATATACAAAGCATTCGCATCTTTCACAACCACAAACAACCGTGCTAATTTTTAAACATTTAAAACTTTTTCTATGATTGAATTATTCGAGCTTTAGTTTTCTCATCAATTGAAAACCTAGATTTTTTTGTAATTGCACACACAATCATACATACAATGACTTTAGACTTCTGTCTTTGGATATAAGGCACATTATTGAAGAATATTGACTAATCTTCCCTTTCTTAGTTTTTCAGAAAACTGGTCGAATCGGAAAATGGAACCTAACTGAAGAGAAGATGGATGGTTATCTATGCATTTCTATCTTTCTGGAAGGGGAAAAATTACATTTCCAAAAGAAATCGGAAACAGAAAACAGATTTGTGACGATCTTGACACAAACTCCTACCGTATCAATAAATAAAATCAAGTTAAAGTATTGTCTATCATATAGTAGAATATTGTGCAATAAACATACAGCAAGTTTCCCTTGCAGCTATGCCTCACAAAATTTTATAAAATTTATTGAAGCTTTATTAAGGATAGAGCTTTCAACTTTTCAGAATATGTTCCGAAGAAACTGCCTAATTTCTCAGCAATAAAAATGTGAAAACTTAATGAGAAAATTCTTGCAAAAATAAATATAACATGGCACACGATATTGGCACGGCTCAATCAAACTAAACGATCCAAATCTTTTTGGAAATTTGATTTGATTGAGCCATTCCAACATCATAATATGCCTGTCACCCCACACATGAAAAAAATGAATGTTTACCTTGAACGTTTCTTCTCGTAGACTCGAAAATCTTGATTACAGAAGTTTTAACACTCTCTTTATATTGTGATTCTTCGTCGTGAAGAAGAACCAATTTAAGAAACTGAAGAAATAGGAGAGAAGAACAAGAAAGTTTTGTTGTTGAAAAGTTCGAGTCATTGATGTGGGAATTCATATTAAAAAGTTGAGCAATTAGGTATTCTCTATGCATGTAGTGGTTGATGACATTTACACATTGACAAAAGTTTATGTCACTTTCTCCAAAATTTCAATATATTTCAGTGAACTTTGGCCAGCTTGTAAACCTGACTTTTATACGTAAATAATGATCATCATTATGTCATGGACAAAACAGGTTGTACCACAAATTATATTACAAAAAAAATAATAATGGATAAAAAGAATCAAAGATAATCTAACTTTTTAAACTGCGCTTAATATTCAAACTTTCAAGTTTCTCTAATTTATACTTGAACTTTATCAAATGCACATCGTTAATGTACTGCACCCACTTATTGATTCAAATAATTTGATTTTATCTCTCTCTAGCTTCTGAATTGTGATATTATGATGTTAATGTTGTGGTAATGGGGTCGGAGCAACATAAAATTGATAGTTAGACTTGTCAACGGTGTGTTAAATTGGATATCGGTTAGAAGAACAGAAAGTTTGGCACCTATGAAAACACATTTGGAAGTTCGAGTGAGGATTTGAAAAAATAATAATAATAATAATTTAAAGATTGATAAGAAATGCAGTTGAAAATTCAGGTAACATTTGTGCTTTTTACTCAAAAATTGTGAACAAAAATGGTTTACTAAAATAATTAATCATACTTTCTATTTTTCATTTTCGGCCTTAAAATAAATTTTCAACCATTTGGCCCATTGCAAAATAAAACCTTTGAACTCAACTTGGTTGTTTTAATATATATATTTTTCCGAATTTCATATACTAATTGAAGAATTTATATAGCATTGGAATTGTTTCTATAGAAGTATCATGTCTCGACTTTTTTTATATATGTTGAAAGTTTGAACTATAGAGATCAAATTTACTATTTTAATTGTATCGGATTGGTACAAAACTTGTTTGAATTTAAATTGATAGATATTTTCCGTATCAATAATTCATATACATCTTAGACCTAACACTTATATATATATATGTGTGTGTGTGTGTTGTTCAACCTACCAAAAAGGTCGAAGGGGCAACTCAGAAATTCTTCTTCTTTGGTCCACATGTCGTGCTTAATAGGGTAATAATTATGGAACTTTTTTTTGTAGGTCAAAAGGACATATGAGGTTTCGTGTATTCTAATTTTCAAATCATTACAAGTGAAAATGTCCCTTGGCTTAAACTATGTTGAATATCATAGAAAAAAATTAATATATTTTCTAGTGTTATCCAATATCAGGAAGTAAAAGGAAAAATAATTAAAAAAATAAATTAATATAAGTTTCTAAAATGTAACCTTACGATTTGAATAATAGTTGGGTATGGATTGTCATTTGATTCTTGTAGCCCCAATTATAAACTATTCCATAATTAATAGATTTTTGGTGGACAAGTTTCCTCTCAAACCCTAGTGGTTGTTATTGGGATTGAGGCCATAGAGAAAGCACTGATTCCCAACCCTACACACACATCATATTATTTACATTTTTATAACTAACTTTTTGCCCTTCTAATACACTAATTGCCCCAAATCGAATCTAACTATATGCACCCGAATTCAAATTAAATAGGATTTTGGGGCTATGCCGGCTGCTTTTAGTTATTAGTTTAGGGCTACTAAATTAATCGACTTAGCTAAAACTCGGACAATTTGATAGAAATTAGGAAAATCGATCGAATTTAGTTAACTTATTGGTTCTTGATTCATTCATGCTTTGAAACATCGTCAATTGTTGTTGCACTAAATAAACTTTATTCTCAATAATTTGAAAATGGATTATCATTGTAGTTGATTAATCTATTGGTTTTAGGGATATTTGCTATATTGGTTCGTGACCTATGACATATATTAATAATTGGCCATCAACCTAGAAATGACAACAGGACGAAAACCACTCCCCACCACTTGAGGAGGCGGGACAGGATCAGAA